AGGCTCAGAGCTTCTACTGGGGTCAGCCATAATCCACAGGAATCATGTCCACAGGAATCTTCCTCTAAGGCCATGATCTGAGATCCCAGGCAAGACAAAGGGCTGCATTTGACTTGACTCAGGGAGCAAGTGTCACAGTGAACACAGGTATGAAAGGTATGTTTGATTGACTGCGACTCAGATTTCTGCCTGTCACCACACCTCTTTTTCAACATAACCAATGACAGATTTATGATCCGATTGAAATCATAGACCAGCATAAGGTAGAAGCCGCTACAACCATACATACAACCGTAGAAATAAGGAGCACACATTCTCTTACAGTAGACCAGCATCAGATTAAAAAAAACATAAAACACATACAGTTGCATTCAAATTATTCAACCCCCATTGCAAATCAGGTTTATTAAGAAGATTTACAGACTTTCAGCTGTTTGCCATGAGCAAATCAAACAAAAGAAATTGAAATAGCTCAACACAATGGATGCATCAGTTGGTTCCCCCAAATTCAGCTGAACACGTTGTTGTGTTAGTGGAACACTCAGCAGACTCACACAGGGGAAGTCCTTCCCAATGGGACTTAATAATAATAATAATAATAATAATAATAATAATAATAAAAATAAAAATTTCCCCAGACACTCTGGGCGGCTTCCAAAAAAATATTAAAACACTGTAATACATCAAACATTAAAAGCTTCCCTAAACAGGGCTGCCTTCAGATGTCTTCTAAAAGTCTGGTAGCTGTTGTTCTCTTTAACATCTGGTGGGAGGATGTTCCACAGGGAGGGCGCCACTACCGAGAAGGCCCTCTGCCTGGTTCCCTGTAACTTGGCTTCTCGCAGGGAGGGAACCGCCAGAAGGTCCTCGGTGCTGGACCTCAGTGTCCGGGCAGAACAATGGGGGTGGAGACGCTCCTTCAGATATACTGGACCATGGCCGTTTAGGGCTTTAAAGGTCAGCACCAACACTTTGAATTGTGCTTGGAAACGTACTGGGAGCCAATGTAGGTCTTTCAAGACCGGTGTTATGTGGTCTCGGCGGCCGCTCCCAGTCACCAGTCTACCTGCCGCATTCTGGATTAGTTGTAGTTTCCGGGTCACCTTCAAAGGTAGCCCCACATAGAGCGCATGGCAGTAGTCCAAGCAGGAGATAACCAGAGCATGCACCACTCTGGTGAGACAGTACACAGGCAGGGAGGGTCTCAGCCTGTGTACCAGATGGAGCCGGTAGACAGTTGCCCTGGACACAGATTTGACCTGTGCCTCCATGGACAGCTGTGAGTCCAGAATGACTCCCAGGCTGCGCACCTGGTCCTTCAGCGGCACAGTTACCCCATTCAGGACCAGGGAGTCTTCCACACCTGCCCGCCTCCTGTCCCCCAAAAACAGTACTTCTGTCTTGTCAGGATTCAACCTCAATCTGTTAGCCGCCATCCATCCTCCAACCGCCAACTTAAGACATACCTGTTATTGCAGGCAATGCTTCACAGCCTAACCTACCTCACAGGGCTATTGTCAGGATTAAATTGGGGGGGGGGCGGGACCATGTAACACCACCTTGAGATCCTTGGAGAAAAAGCTGTTCTATGAATACAATAAATCAATCTCAAAAAGGTCAGGTGTGTAAGGTTCTCCACACAGACAGGAACAACTAGCTGCACAAATATAAGATAAGGAACAACAGGCTTGCCAGTACTACATATGAAAAGGATCTAGAGGTCTTGGAGGACCACAAGCTGAACATGAGTCAACCGTGTGGTGCAACAACAACAAAAAAGGCAAATGCTATTCCAGGCTGGAGGAGGAGGAGGAGGAGGAGGAAGAAGAAGAAGAAGTTAACAATGAAGATTGTAATTTATTGCAAGCGCAAATAATAATAATAATAATAATAAATTTTATTTATATCCCGCCCTCCCCAGCCGAAGCCAGGCTCAGGGTGGCTAACAACAATCAAACAATCAAATAATCCAACATTCTAAAACACTTCATTATAAAAATTAATTAAAATCAAATTAATGGCAACCTTTAAGCAAAATTCTGTGTAGGTTGCCAGAGGAGGGAGTCAGGCTGGGCCCTGACCAAAGGCCTGGTGGAACAACTCTGTCTTGCAGGCCCTGCGGAAAGATGTCAGGTCCCGCAGGGCCCTAGTCTCTTGTGACAGAGCGTTCCACCAGATTGGAGCCGCAGCCGAGAAAGCCCTGGCTCTAGTTGAGGCCAGCCTAACCTCTCTGAGGCCTGGGACCTTCAGGATGTTTTTATTTGCAGACCGTAGGTTCCTCTGCAGGGCATACCAGGAGAGGCGTTGAAAACGCTGTTACTCTTTACCTTCTCAGTCTTATTTTATTCTGTCCCTAACTCTTCTACCTCCCCTCACACAAGAACCAACTGCACTAACTCTGTTTCCAACTGCCTGCCAACCGCCTTCCCAACTGCCTTAATCAACCAACCAACCCACTAAAACCAACCTGGGGCTAAGCCCTTTTATAAACAGGTAGGCTCCGCCTCCAGCTTTTCTATTGGTCTGCCTATTAACCCTTTCTCTCCCCCTCTACAGACATTTCCAAAAGAACGGGCAAACGCCACAGCATCTTATACATACATGTTAATATTCAAACTCTCATATATTGTTTATATTTTATAAATTAATTGTGTCACAACGCCTCCTCATTCTTGGCTATGTGAAGTGTTCAGATAAAACATTATCTCTGGAGGCATCAGGAATAAAAGGGCTGTTTAGTGGCATAACCAGGAAGAAGAGTTTGGATTTGATACCCCGCTTTATCACTACCCACAGGAGTCTCAAAGCAGCTAACATTCTCCTTTCCCTTCCTCCCCCACAACAAACACTCTGTGAGGTGAGTGGGGCTGAGAGACTTCAAAGAAGCATGACTGGCCCAAGGTCACCCAGCAGCTGCATGTGGAGGAGCGGGGAAGCGAACCCGGTTCACCAGATTATGAGTCCACCGCTCTTAACCACTACATCATGCTAGCTCTCTCAAGATACTTACTTTTATTTTTCAAGAGAAATACAACATCTAGGTCAAGGGAAGTCATAGTCCCACTCCTGCCTTGGTCAGAACACACCTGGAATACTGTGTCCAGTTCTGGGCACCACAATTTAAGGAGGACGTTGACAAGCTGGAAGGTGGGCAGAGGAGGGCAACCAAGATGATCAAGGTTGTGGAAACTAAGCCTGATGAGGAATGGTTGAATGAGATGGGTATGTTTAGCCTGGAAAAGAGGAGACTGAGAGGAGATATGATAGCCATCTTCAAGTATCGGAAGGGCTGTCACATGGAAGATGGTAGAGCAAGCTTGTTTTCTCCTGCCCTCGAGGGCAGGACTTGAACCAGTGGCTTCAAGTTGCAGGGAAGGAGATTTTAACTAGACACACAGGAAATTTTTCTGACGGTAGGAGCTGTTTTTACTATTACTATTATTATTAAAGTTTTCTTGGTTTACAAAGGTATGTGCAATGTCGTTTTTTTCCAAGTTACATTTTCCATTGGTCAGTTTCATTTGTTGAGACATTAGGGTTACGTTAGGAAGAAAAGGGGGGGAGGAAGAGGTGGAGGGGGGGAAGGTGAGTGGGGGGTGGGCTCGGGAAGCAATGTTTCTAATTTGCTTAATGTGTGGGGTTTTGCGTCAGCGTCGTTTGTGTGGGTTCTCTTTGCTACTCACTTGTGTTCCTTTGGGTGGTGAGAGAAATTGGGGTTGGCCTAGGGTGCGGTTGCTTGTTTGTGATTAGCTGTGGTGAACTTTGTTTTCGTGTGTGAGTGGGGTGGGTGGGTGTTTTTGAATCAGGTTAGCCATATTGATTTGTATGCTTTTATGAGTTATTTGTGGTGTAAGTGGCCATTATTGTCTTGGAAGATGTTTAGTAAGGCCAGTTCTGGGGTGGTTTCTAATACTTGTTTGGTTATTTTACTTATTTCTTATATGGCTATTGTCCAGAATAGTTGGATTTTGGGCACTCCCACCACATGTGGAGGTATGTGCCTGTGGAGGTACACCCTCTCCAGCATTTTGGTGAGGTTCCTGGGCGTATTAGCGCTAGTTTTCTTGGTGTTAAGTACCACATGTAGGTGAGCTTCAGAGTGAGTTCTTTTCTTTTCGTTGATATGGATTTAAATTGGGGTTTAGAGCACATTCTGGTCCATTGAGTGGGGTTAAACTCATAGCCTATGTCATCCTCCCATTGTTTTTTGATTGTGTCTAGGGAGTTTGTGGGATTTTGGAGTCGTATTTTGTATATTGCAGATACCATCCCTTTACCGTTTCCCTTTGTTGTTAGGAGGAGGTTTTCAAAGGTTGTCAGGGGCCTAGTTGCTGCTGATTTTACTACTGGATTGTTTAAGAGGGCATGTAATTGGTGTTGTGTTAACCAGGGCATTTGGGTGTCTTCTAGTTTGTCTTGTATTTCTTGTGTTGACAAAGTCTATTAGGCGATATAAGCCTTTGGTTTGCCAGGTTTTTATCTGGAGGTTTTGTGCTGCATGATGGAATAATGGGTGGTACGCAAGGGGAATTAGTGGGGATGGGGTTGGGGATAGTTTGCCTATTACTGTTTTGGAAAAGGCCTTGGAAGGGAGCAGGCCCTGCAGTCCTCCCCACAGCCGATGGTCCGAGGCCTCACTGCAGCAGGAGTCCCTTTATAGCTGGGAGAGAGGGCCTGGGCCACGCCCCCTGGGCCAGTTGGAAAAGGCCCTGGAAGGGAGCAGGCCCTGCAGTCCTCCCCACAGCCGATGGTCTGTGCATGTAAAATTATATACATATAAAGTAATAGAAGCACTTCCTGCACACTCCTTCCATTCAAATCATTTCTGCTTTTTCAGTTTGTTGGTAGATTGTTGGGTTTCAACTCTTAAAGCTTCTCCTCCTTGTGAGTCCATTGATGTTTTGTATCGACACTCCATATAAGTGGTTTTCCCTTTTTGAGTTTGCTGGTGTTTGCTAAGGTTTCCACTTCTATTGAAGCTCTTTCCACACTCCATACATTTATTTGCTTCTCCCCGAGTGAGTTTGTTGGTGTCTTCTAAGGGGTCCACTCTGACTGAAGCTCCTTCCACACTCCATGCATTTAAATGGTTTCTCTCCTGTGTGACTCCGTTGATGAATTCTAAGGTGTCCACTCTCAGTGAAGCTCTTTCCACATTCCATGCATTGAAATGGTTTCTCCCCTGTGTGTTTTTGATGATGTGCATTCAGGCATCCACTCTCAGTGAAGCTCTTTCCACACTCCATGCATTTAAATGGTTTCTCTCCTGTGTGCCTCCGTTGATGAATTCTAAGTTTTCCACTCTGACTGAAGCTCTTTCCACACTCCATGCATTTAAATGGTTTCTCCCCTGTGTGACTCCGTTGATGAATTCTAAAGTGTCCACTCTGACTGAAGCTCTTTCCACACTCCATGCATTTAAATGGTTTCTCCCCAGTGTGACTCCGTTGATGAATTCTAAGGCTTCCGCTAGTAGTGAAGCTCTTTCCACATTCCATGCATTTAAATGATTTCTCCCCAGTGTGAGTTTGATGATGTGCATTCAGGCATCCCCTCTGACTGAAGCTCTTTCCACACTCCATGCATTTAAATGGTTTCTCTCCTGTGTGACTCCGTTGATGAATTCTAAGGCTTCCGCTAGTAGTGAAGCTCTTTCCACATTCCATGCATTTAAATGATTTCTCCCCAGTGTGAGTTTGATGATGTGCATTCAGGCTTCCACTCTGACTGAAGCTCTTTCCACACTCCATACATTTAAATGGTTTCTCTCCTGTGTGCGTCCGTTGATGAATTCTAAGTTTTCCACTCTCAGTGAAGCTCTTTCCACATTCCATGCATTGAAATGGTTTCTCCCCTGTGTGTGTTTGATGATGAGCATTCAGGCATCCACTCTCAGTGAAGCTCTTTCCACACTCCATGCATTTAAATGGTTTCTCTCCTGTGTGACTCCGTTGATGAAGTCTAAGGCTTCCGCTAGTAGTGAAGCTCTTTCCACACTCCATGCATTTAAATGGTTTCTCCCCCGTGTGACTCCGTAGATGAATTCTAAGATCTCCACTCTGACTGAAGCTCTTTCCACACTCCATACATTTAAATGGTTTCTCCCCTGTGTGAGTCCGTTGATGAATTCTAAAGTGTCCACTCTGACTGAAGCTCTTTCCACACTCCATGCATTTAAATGGTTTCTCCCCTGTATGAGTCCGTTGATGAATTCTAAGTGTTCCACTCTCAGTGAAGCTCTTTCCACACTCCATGCAATTAAATGGTTTCTCCCCTGTGTGACTCCGTTGGTGTTTTCTAAGGTTTCCACTGTCAGTGAAGCTCCTTCCACACTCCATACTTTCAAATTGTTTATGTTCTCTGTTTTCACACTCCATGTATTTAAATGGTTTCTTCGTTATTCCTATTTCACATGGCCCACCAAAATTCTGATTGCCTTCTCCATTGTCTTCTTTCAATGGGGTGGGGTAGGGAGAAAATCCTATTTGTTTTCTAGGAAGAGAACAAAGGAATATTACACACATCAATTAGCACCTGCTCTTATTTTAACGTCTTGTACAATCTCTCCTGTCCTCCATATGTTCCAAATTTTTAGGAAAGGCAAATGAAAGAATGTAAAATAATGGTCATGCATCATCAGCCTTTTATAACCCTTAATTATTGTTAAGGAAGCAGCATTATCTTAGTATACGGTTGAACAGTGGGGTTTACGTTTTATAAAAAGTGGTTTCTAACAGAAAGGGGAGCTGTTCTATGTTCCATGAACCTGGCCCCTATTCATCAGGGTCCTAAGTTCATCATTAAGTTCTTCATCCTCTACACTATAATCCTCCACCCCTTGGGCCACATTTTGTCCCCTTCGACCTCTAGATCTTTATTCATCACCTGCACAGTCCCTTTGGCCTCAGGACGTCCATACTGCCCATTTTGGGAGACCCATATATAAGTCTAGTGACAAGGCTTGGTGCTTGTGGTCGGTTGAAGGAGCACTTAGTTGGAGAATGTTCTTGGGGTTGGACCTCCATCTCTCAGCCTTGCATTATTGAATGGAGAGAGCTGGAGATGCAGAAGGAAAGCAGCTGGAGCCTGACTGCTGGGAAGGCCAGACTGAGACACCCACCCCAATTATGATTTATAATAATTATATGCTGCCATGTCTCGCACCCGCCTCCTGACACTGGCTTATCTTAGTGGAGATTTCCTGTCCAGGCCTCTCTCACTGTTCTTCCTCCTTTGCCGTGGGTGGCCAAGGGATTCTGGACATTCTAGCTCTGCTCCAACTGGGAATTATTTATTAAATTGTTATACCTCTCTTCATCTGAAGTTCAGAAGATAAAAATATGTGTGACACCAAAATAGGTGAGTATTAAAGGTGAATAACACTGATTGTGGGAAAGAAAAGAAAGAAGATGAAACCAGTGATGTGTCCAGCTGAATGTAATATAATAATAATAATAATAATAATAATAATGTGTAAAGAAGAAACCAATCTTCAAATCAGTTTCATATTCCCTGGCTGTATTTCTCAGTCACGATTGTGACTCAGAATCTTAGCCACAATTTATTGTAGAATATCAACTGGATCTCTTTGTAATAGGAGCCAGACATCCCTGTACAGAATAGGCACCTGTACAGAATAGGCACCTGAATGCAGAAGCCAATCCAAAGGGGTGGCTGGTAGTGGAGGTGGTGAAATGCTTAAGTTCTGAGTTCTTCATGTGCGCTAAAACTCAGTCTGCTTGGCTGTTTTTTATAAAAATAAAAAAACCCCAACATGCTATAATATTATTGTTTTAGTTAAATAAATTGTTTAAGTTGTAATTAAGGAAATGATTATTTTTCTCCTTCCAATAAATTACAGCAGAACTGTTGTCCAAATATAGACAGTTAACTTATTAAACCTCAGAATGATTTCACAATTATCTGTCTGTGTATTTCTAATAGTGTAACCAAATCAGAAATTTTTGATTTAAATAGAATCATACTGACTAGTGATTTACCGTAAATTGTGATTGAAATCAATTTGATTTATATCAAACCCACCCTGCTTGCAATCTACCACAATGTCTGAAATAAGGCTGGAACTATACAGAGGCGAACAGGACAATGTCCTGGCAGCTGCTACTACTTAGGGGTCTGAAACGGATAAATGAAAATATTATCAATCCTCACACACTCAGTTTCATCTGCAGGGAAGCCAAGATGCATCCTAGCAGGACGTTTGGGTTTCCGCTAGGCTATAATTGGTGGTATTCAGGACAATCCAAGTATGGAGATGAGTCCTAGTGAATAAGATAACCTGGTATTGTCATCAGGGAAGGGGGGAGAAGGGAGTCAGGGGTGCTGGAAGGGGAGGGGTCTCTGTCGAGGCTCCTCCCCCTTCCATTAACCCTTCCCTGGACTCCCTCTCTCCCTTTCCCCAGCCAGGCGCCCCACGACCCCAGGGAGAATGGGGGGCCTCAGCCCCACCCCCAGCCCTGCTTGGGGTCCTCCTTCCCCTTCCCGCCAAGGCCTCCAGGGGGGGCAGGGCAGCTGAGCATCTCTCGGCCCCCCAGGAAAGAGAAAGGGAGTCTGGCGGTGCTGCTGCTGCCCAGGAGATCTTGCAAGGCCAGCCCTGCAGGTGTTGGGTCCCCCCTTCCCACCTGGGTCGCCTGGATCGGGGCCCCTGTCGACGGGCCCCAGGGAGGGCGCTTTCCTTGGGGGGGGGTCTCTTTGTCCTCCCCCCTTATCCCCCCCTTCTCTCCCTCTTTACCTCTTGGTCCTCCGCCTCCCTGGCTCCAGATTACTCCGCTTTCCTTGTCTGCAATAGAAAGGGCGGCGGCGACGGGGGGGGGGGCTCTTCAGCGACGCCCCTCCTCCTTTCCCTGTCTGGCAACTTCCGGCGCGTTTCGCGGCGACACTTCCGGCTCCTTTTCCGACGCGCGCGTCCCTAGAGCTACGTCCGCAGAGCAGCCCCTCCCTGTGTCCGGAGGGGAAGGAGACGGGGCGGCGCTGCCTCTGGCCTCCTGCTCTGGGGGCTCCATGGGGACCCGGCCCCCGCCCCCCAACTGGCGGCAGGGAGCGGGGGGGGGGGAAGCTGGGCAAGTTTCCTCCACCCTCCTTTTTGAGGCAGGGGGAGGATCTCCTTCTGGGCCTCCTTCTGCATGCCAAGCACTCAACCGGGGTCCTTCTGCGTGCAGAGCACCTGCTGCCTTGCTGAGCTACGCCCCCGAACAGCCAAGCCCAGCTTCAAACACCAGCCCTCCTCCCCCCATTAAAAGACTTCAGGTGTCTTCTAAATGTTAGGTGGTTGTTTATTTCCTTGACATCTGGTGGGAGGGCGTTCCACAGGGCGGGTGCCACCACCAAGAAGGCCCTCTGCCTGGTTCCCTGTAACTTGGATTCTTGCAGGGAGGGAACCGCCAGAAGGCCCTCGGCACTGGACCTCAGTGTCCAGGTTGAACGATGGGGGTGGAGACGCTCCTTCAGGTATACTGGACCGAGGCCGTTTAGGGCTTGAAAGGTCAACACCAAGACTTTGAATTGTGCTTGGAAATGTACTGGGAGCCAGTCTAGGTCTTTCAGGCTGCCCCTCTCCCGTTAAAAAACTACCCACTGGATTCCCCCGGTAAAATGAGTGCAGTAATGCCGGACCTTCCAACCCAAGGGGGGGGGGAGGAGCTGTCAATATTTGTGAAGCCAGTTTCACAGAGGGGAGGCTCAGGAAGAATCTCCTGCTAGGGGACGGGAGGAGTCCAGAGGCTGACTGGGGCCAGGCATGGCTGCTCTTTTGCTCTTGTCTCTTTCCAGCTCAGGGTTTAGTGGTAAAAGTGATATTTCATCCAGAAACGGGTGGATTTCCCCCTGTCTGCTCCTCCCTCCCTCCCGCTGCATTTGGTTAGTCACCGGGAGCAGAAAGGCACGCTCTGTTTTTCATTTCAGTGTGGATGCATTCAGGGCCTTGCAGAGCCAGGCAGAGGCCCAGGCCAGGGAGATAATGTGCCCCCCTTTTATTTTTTACCCTGGGGGGGCCACCAGGTGGCGCATTGGAAGATGGCCGACAATAACATCTCTCCGACCCACACGAGGTAATAAAGAGCCTGCTATGGGAAGTATGTAGTCTTCCTGCCCCCCCCCCTTGGGGGGGTCAGCCTTGCCAGCGATGTCCAGAATGCACCCCCGGATTTGAAAGAAGGGGGTGCAGGACATTTGGCACCAGCCCTCGGTGAGTTTGGCTCTTCCTGACGCTGTCTCCAATCAGCGCCCTGGTTCGCTTCAGCTCGAAAATACAATTGGAAATATATAATTGGAAATATATAATTGGAGTGAAGCTGAAGCACATACATCAAGCAAAGTTCAAGAGATAGAAGAAGAGTTTGGATTTGATATCCCGCCTTTCACTCCCTTTAAGGAGTCTCAAAGCGGCTAACGTTCTCCTTTCCCTTCCTCCCCCACAACAAACACTCTGTGAGGTGAGTGGGGCTGAGAGACTTCAAGGAAGTGTGACTGGCCCAAGGTCACCCAGCAGCTGCATGTGGAGGAGCGGAGACGCAAACCCGGTTCCCCAGATTATGAGAGTGCCGCTCTCAACCACTACACCACACTGGCTGCTGATAAGGCTGCTGATTAATGCATCTCTGTGATTGGAGCGACGGGAGGAGACAAATAAATCAAGCGATGAACCATCATTATGAGACTGGTACGTGTGGAGCGAAAAAAAGAGGGGGGGTGGAGGAAAAAACTTTTATTTTCTTTGCCTTATGTATTTATAAACCTCCACACCAGAGAGACGAATCGTTGTCTTTTACTAATCGCAAGCAAGAATTTAAGAGCTACGTGGAGTGAATTATTGATTGAAGAGAGGACTGGTAAATATTGGAGAGCGGAGGAAAAATTCTATGACGCAGTTTTTAATGGCGTCTTGCTAAAACAGGCTTGTCGAAGAAAGACGAGGGGAGGAGGACCAGGATCATTGGAATGTGAATGATGGATTGAATGTGATAACCTGGCAGAGCCCCTTTGTGATATACGTGGCAAGCTTGGGAAAATTAATAGGACAGACCAAGGACAAATCTTTGAAGAAGGGGAGGAATGGGCGGCTGTCCTTATGAGATATGACTCTTGGAGTGTGCAAAACCCACGCAGATGTTGTTTGTTCCTAACCTGCTTGTGAAGACTATCAGAGATTGCAAAGAAAGGAATACATGATAACAACAAGAAGATGAAGAAAGTAATAAAGAGGCTATCTGGACAGATCTGGATAGAACTGTTTGATAAAAGCAGTAACAGAAGTGATGTTTTGATCCTCGTTCGGAGCTTGATGTATGGGTACCCCCAACAAAATTCAAAAATTTGGCTGTATAATTTGGAAGTAATATGATTTGGAAATAATGTGATTGGATTGGCCTGTTAATAAAAATTATGTATATTTTTTACCCTGGGGATAACTGAAGTCTTATAAATAAGTAAGGATATAAATCATTTTCACAAAAGTTATGCTCACAAATAATTTTATTTCAAGGCTTGAACCGGACCTGCAGATAAAGACAGAGCATCCCCTGCGATTGTGAATATGCAGACCGAGGCCCCCTTTGGAATCGGAGGCCCTGGCCACGTGGCCCATATGGCCCCCCCTCTGTCTGGGCCTGGAAGCAGTTGCCCTGAGCAACCTGCAGCCTGAGTTAGTGAGGGTCCATCACCTCCTGGCAAATAGAAGGGGAAGAAATGGAGGCAGTGAGAGATTTTACTTTCTTGGGCTCCATGATCACTGCAGATGGTGGCAGCAGCCACAACATTAAAAGATGCCTCCTTCTTGGGAGAAAAGCAATGACAAACCTAGACAGCATCTTAAAAAGCAGAGACATCACCTTGCCAACAAAGGTCCGTATAGTTAAAGCCATGGTTTTCCCAGTAGTGATGTATGGAAGTGAGAGCTGGACCATCAAGAAGGCTGATCGCCGAAGAATTGATGCTTTTGAATTATGGTGCTGGAGGAGACTCTTGAGAGTCCCATGGACTGCAAGAAGATCAAACCTCTCCATTCTTAAGGAAATCAGCCCTGAGTGCTCACTGGAAGGACAGATCCTGAAGCTCCAAGACTTTGGCCACCTCATGAGAAGAGAAGACTCCCTGGAAAAGACCCTGATGTTGGGAAAGATGGAGGGCACAAGGAGAAGGGGACAACAGAGGACGAGATGGTGGGACAGTGTTCTCGAAGCTACAAACTTGAGTTTGACCAAACTGCGGGAGGCAGTGGAAGACAGGAGTGCCTGGTATGCTCTGGTCCAGGGGGTCACAAAGAGTCGGACACGACTAAACAACAACAACATCAACAACAACAACATAAATTTGTGTACAAGTGAGCCCAAGGATTTTCCTAGAACAAGATGCCTTCAGTCTTTCTTTGTCTTCATTTACTAGCAAAAGCTGGCTGGTGGCATTTTAAATATTTTTGGCTAAGCTCAGTGGTAAGAAAATCCGCTTTGCATGCAGAAGGCCCCTGGCACCTCCAGGGAGAACTGGGAATGTCCCCATCTAAAATTACAAGGTCCTGTGATTGTGTTGCTTAAACAGGGACAGAGGCAGAATTGGGCTCAGAGGTTTCCTGCAGGGCCCACTGAGTTTCTGTCTCGCCCTCCCTGAAAACCTGTGGAACCATTTCCCCCCTAGGTATATTATTGTGGGTCTGACATACATCAGGATTTTCCTGAGATTTCAAAGGTGGAATTGATGTCCGGGGAAGAATTTCCAAAAGGCGGCACTTTGTCCTGGATTTAAGACAAGTCAATTGAAAACTCATGGGCTTTTTTGGCGTTTATTTGGGGCCTTGTCTAAAAAAGAAAAAGAAAAAGTTCTACAAATTTGGGGGTGTCCTGGTTTTTACTTTTTGAAATATGGCAACCCTAATTATTCTGGGCTCTGCTTGAACTGAAACTCCCTTTTAGAGCACAGCCGGTAGAGCATGAGATTCTGAATCTATGGGTCGTGGGTTTGAGCCCCACTTTGGGCAAAATATTTCTGCATTGCAGGGGGCTGGACTAGATGACCCTCGTGGTCCCTTCCAACTCTGCAATTCTAGGATTCTACCATGTGTAGAGGAAAGATCGCCCTCTTGTGGGCAGTGGAGGAATGATGTAATGTTGGTTGGTGGGAACTGTTCTTGAGTGTTGCCTTGTCACACACATGCAACACCACAACAGTCCTGTGAAAGGAAGGGGGAGCATTTCTGCAGGCTGATGTCCATCCATCCAGCTGCCCAGGCCCCAGCACCTCCCCCTAACAGTGAAGGGTCCCAGTCTGGAAATCCCCCCTTCCTGCTGGAGATGAGGCAGTGAGGGACTCCAGACAGACAGAGGCGCCCTTGCTCTGGAATTCCCTTGCCAGCAGGGAGACTTCAAAAGCCCCCCCCCCCAAATGCCTCCCCCTTCCCTCATTTAGTATGGAGACTTTTCATCTTGTGGTTGGGTCATTTCAAATCCAGTTTTTCTCTCTCTCCCTGCAATTTTAAGCAATTCTGGCTCTTATGATCCCTGCCGGGTATTAAGTGTTGTTCTAACCTTCCTATTGCAGGTGGAAAGAGGAATGTGGGGCTTGCTTATAATATCTTAGGGTGGCAGGATTAAGATTTGGGACTGGGACTTTCAGATTCAGAGCCACTTTTCGCATGAGATTTCTTCCAACTATTGGAGGAAAGTACGTCTGAGGTTTATGACAGAAATATAATTATTACGGGCGAATTTAATGGAGTAGGATCACTGGACTATGACAGAACACTGAGGGAAAGTGTCTCAAAAGAAGGCAAAATACCAAATACTTTTTTGATATGGTTACAACAATGGATCTACTAGATCAGGGGTCAGCAAACTTTTTCAGCAGGGGGCCAGTCCACTGTCCCTCGGACCTTGTTGGGGGCCAGACTACATTTCGGGGGGAAATGAGCGATTTTCGCCCGCCCGCAAAGAGGCCTGAAGATGTTTGGCTTTACCTGTCCCAGTTGTCCCAATAGCCCCAGTTGGGCTTCTCCAGCCAGGTGCCAGGGCAGGGTAGGAGGCTGCGTTGGCCGGAGAAGACAGAAGCAGCATCCCCGGCGGAGCTTTTCAACTTTGCTGGAGTCTAGCCCTGCGGATGCTGGGAGTCTAGCCCTGTGATCCAGACATGCCCATGTCAATCACACCTTGTTTCAACATCCATCTAACACAAGGAAAAGAAAATATCCCCCCATCATCACGGAGGTCCACTTCCGAGGGTCTTCTGGCAGTTCCCTCACATTTACAGGGTACCAGGCAGAGGGCCTTCTTGGTAGTGGCACCCTCTCTGTGGAACACCCCCCCCCATATCAGATGTCAAAGAGAGAAAGAATTCCGTACCTTTTGGAAGACCTCTGAAGGCAGCCCTGTTCAGGAGCAGGGCGGAGATCTCTCAGAAGTGGAGGCTTTGCGCTGAGAGATCCCTGCCTCCACTCCTCCTTGCACGCAAGTAGGAGCAGCAGCGGGAAGCTCCGCTGAGGAGCGGCTGGCTGCCTTCAAGTGGTGCAGGAGCTCTCAGATGCAGCTTCCGGGCTGCCTCCACCTTCCCCAACCCCAGCAACTATTCAGCCTGGCTGCCTTCACGGGGTTGCAGGGGATCTGAGGCGGAGGTGGGGGCTCCTTTCAAATTCTCCCTTGAGGGGAGTGCAGCCTCAAACCCCTCAACGGAAAGGGTGACAGAGCCTGTCCCTCCCCAGCTCAGCAGCCCCCATCCAGCTCCTCTTCCCGTGCAAGCAGCAACGCTGCCTAGCGGAGCAGCCCGATCCCATTCCTACTTGCCGCCCGGCCCGCCTTCCCTCACAAGGAAAACAGAAGTATGGCACTCAAAACGGAAGTTATACTCAGAACAGAGCATGTTCGGCTTCCAAAAAAAGTTCCAAAACTGGAACACTCGTTTCTGGGTTTGAAGAGTTCAGGTTGCAAGTAGTTTGAGAACTAAGCTGTTTGAAAACTGAGGTACCACTGTATTTATTTTCCCCAATTACAACTGTATTTATCCCCTCCCCCGGTGGTGATTTTCCACGATAAAGACATTGTGTTGACTGGGTTTGATATATTGACGATAATTTCTGATTAAATCCCATAAGATTCTACATTCGTGCCCTTTCCCCTGTTGCCCATTTCTCCTGTCACATACACAGCCCAGTTGCTTCTTGCTTCGCCAGGCAGGCATCCTGGGCCATAAAGATAGTGGGCAAGTTTCTTTGAAGTAGGTTTCTATATGGTAATCTTAGGATGTTAATCTTAGGGCCAGGAAACAGATCTCACATGAAGGTGATAATGATCCGCTGTCCTCCTGGTCATCCTCCTTATCATGTGTATTGCTTGTTTATGATCTCCGGGGTTGCTAAATGCTCTTCTTTGTAGTTCTGTTCTTTGTTTACCCCAGAAATATTTGTGCTTAATTAGTTTTAGTAGTTTAACTTTCTCCCCAAGTGGGTTTGTGGAAATGCTCAGAAGAAATCTGATTAGTTCTTACGAACACTCTGTAAAAAGTTCTTTTGTGAATAAAACGGCCTGGGCCGGGGGCTGTGGGAATCAGACAAGCACAGAGAGACGATTATACGCACCCTTCCCAGAGTCTTGCTGGTTCAAGCCTCTGTGTGTATTCTTATTAATCAGAGTTCCATCCTTCCTTTACTTTGCGAACGGAACAAGTACCCCCTAAGCATTTTTTTTTAGGAAAAAAAGCACTGAGTTATACCATAACATTACAGATCAATGAAAAGACAATTTAATGAAGAATGTAAGGAAATAACTTTTATGAAGGATTATTTATTACAACAGTAGTCATAAAGAAGAACTGTGAAACAAACAGAAAAAAATTAAATATACAGGTAGAATTGCCACGTTATAGTAATAATAATAATTTATTATTTATACCCTGCCCATCTGGCTGGGCCACTCTGGGCGGCGTCCAACAAAATATTAAATTACAATAATGCATCAAACATTAAAAGCTTCCCTAAACAGGGCTGCTTTCAGATGTCTTCTAAAATTCTGGTGGTAGTTGTTCTCTTTGACATCTGGTGGGAGGGTGTTCCACAGGGCGGGTGCCACCACCAAGAAGGCCCTCTGCCTGGTTCCCTGTAACTTGGCTTCTCGCAGGGAGACAACTGCCAGAAGGCCCTTGGCGCTGGACCTCAGAGTCTGGACAGAACAATGAGGGTGGAGAGGTATACTGGACCGAGGCCGTTTAGGGCTTTCAAGGTCCGCACCAACGCTTTGAATTGTGCTCGGAAACGTACTGGGAGCCAATTTAGGCCTTTCAAGACCGGTGTTCTGTGGTCTCGGCGGCCGCTCCCAGTCACCAGTGCAGCTGCCGCATTCTGCATTAGTTGTAGTTTCCGGGTCACCTTCAAAGGTAGCCCCACATAGAGCGCATTGCAGTAGTTGGCACTTTGTGATAAATAAGCGGGTTTTGCGTTGCAGTTTGGGTACTCCATCTCTAAAAATTTCGCTATCACCGCCCTCGGATCATGTCCAGTCGCAAAGGTGAACGGAGGCTCTCCACCCTCAGGCCAAGAGGTGGCTCCTGCCTTGGGGCAGCTGGTGGATTTGGAGGAAGCTGACCCTTAGCACTCTGGGTTGGGGACCTGCCTGAACCTCATTCCCCATTATACTCATCCTTACGGTTTCTCGCCTGTGTCATTATGGGAATAGCATTCTACACACACTTGTGTCACCATGGTTCCCGCCCCCCAGCACATTGCTTTGAGATGCTCTGGTACGGCCCCTTCTTCCCTGTGCCCCCTTCCCTCCTCATGCAAGACCACCAGTCTCAGCTCCACTTTGAGCAACTCTCCATTCCCAGATACAAACATTTCCAACTCCCTCCATCAAACACCAACACCAGCTCACTCTCAGTCCACCCTCATTCAGCAGCAACACTACAGATTCACATTAAATATTAGATTAGGCGTACTATTGTGAAATGTGACCTTCATTACTTTAAATAAATGTCTAGACCACGTTACAAACAACAGAAGCTCACACACACTGCATGCAATTAAGACTGATTTCCTGCTATTGATGTGAAGGAAAGTGTCAACTTGGAGAGAAAAAGGTTCTACTCTCTAAAAAGCGTTCCATAATAACCAAAGCAGGATCAATACTCCTTCTAGTTAAACCCTTTCTCTTCTTTGAGTTAATTGATGGCCTGTGGGTGTTACCACTATTACAACTCTTATCCCTCGGAGTCTTTTGATGGTTTGTAAGACTTCCACTACAACTGAACCTCTGTCCATTTCCCTAGGACTTATATTGTTACTCCCCTTTATGAGTGTGTTGATGTTTTGTAAGAACTCCACTTGTGCTGAAGCTCCTTCCACACTCCAAGCATTGAAATGGTTTCTCCCCAGTGTGAGTCCGTTGATGTTTTCTAAGGTGTCCACTATCAGTGAAGCTCTTTCCACACTCCATGCATTGAAATGGTTTCTCCCCAGTGTGAGTCCGTTGATGAATTCTAAGGTTTCCACTAGTACTGAAGCTCTTTCCACATTCTATGCATTTAAATGGTTTCTCCCCTGTGTGAGTCCGTTGATGAATTCTAAGGTGTCCACTATCAGCGAAGCTCTTTCCACACTCCATGCATTTAAATGGTTTCTCCCCTGTGTGAGTCCGTTGATGAATCCTAATGTGTCCACTATCAGTGAAACTCTTTCCACACTCCATGCATTTAAATGGTTTCTCCCCTGTGTGAGTCCGTTGATGAATTCTAAGGTTTCCACTAGTAGTGAAGCTCTTTCCACACTCCATGCATTTAAATGGTTTCTCCCCTGTGTGAGTCCGGAGATGAATTTTAAGGCTTCCGCTAGTAGTGAAGCTCTTTCCACACTCCACGCATTTAAATGAATTCTCCCCTGTGTTAGTCCGTTGATGACTTCTAAGGTGTCCACTATCAGTGAAGCTCTTTCCACACTCCATGCAATTAAATGGTTTCTCCCCCGTGTGAGTCCGTAGATGAATTCTAAGGTATCTACTCTGACTGTAGCTCTTACCACACTCCATACATTTAAATGGTTTCTCCCCCGTGTGAGACCGTAGATGAATTCTAAGGTGTCCACTCTGACTGAAGCGCTTTCCACACTCCATGCATTGAAATGGTTTCTCCCCCGTGTGACTCCGTTGATGAATTCTAAGGTGTCCACTATAAGTGAAGTTCTTTCCACACTCCATGCATTTAAATGGTTTCTCCCCTGTGTGAGTCCGTTGATGAATTCTAAGTTGTCCACTCTGACTGAACCTCTTTCCACACTCCATGCATTTAAATGGTTTTTCCCCTGTGTGAGTCTGTTGATGAATTCTAAGTTGTCCACTCTGACTGAACCTCTTTCCACACTCCATGCATTGAAATAATTTCTCCCCTGTGTGAGTCCGTTGATGAATTCTAAGGTGTCCACTATCAGTGAAGCTCCTTCCACACTCCATGCATTTAAATGGTTTCTCCCCAGTGTGAGTCCGTTGATGAATTCTAAGGTGTCCACTATAAGTGAAGTTCTTTCCACACTCCATGCATTTAAATGGTTTCTCCCCTGTGTGAGTCCGTTGATGAATTCTAAGGTTTCCACTATCAGTGAAGCTCTTTCCACACTCCATGCATTTAAATGGTTTCTCCCCTGTGTGAGTCCGTTGATGAATTCTAAGTTGTCCACTCTGACTGAACCTCTTTCCACACTCCATACATTTAAATGGTTTCTCCCCTGTGTGACTCCGTTGATGAATTCTAAGGCTTCCACTCCGACTGTAGCTCTTTCCACACTCCATACATTTAAATGGTTTCTCCCCCGTGTGAGTCCGTAGATGAATTCTAAGGTGTCCACTCTGACTGAAGGTCTTTCCACACTCCATGCATTTAAATGGTTTCTCCCCTGTGTGAGTCCGTTGATGAATTCTAAGGTTTCCACTATCAGTGAAGCTCTTTCCACACTCCATGCATTTAAAAGGTTTCTCCCCTGTGTGAGACCATTGATGTTTTCTAAGGTTTCCACTGTCAGTGAAGCTCCTTCCACACTCCATACTTTCAAATTGTTTATGTTCTGTTTTCACACTCCATGTATTTAAATGTTTTCTTCATTATTCCCATTAGACATGGCCCTCCAGAATTCTGATTGCCTTCTCCATTGTCTTCTTTCAGTGGGGAGGGGTAGGGAGAAAATCCTTTTTGTTTTCTAGGAAGAGAACAAAGGACTATTACACACATCAATTAGCACCTGCTCTTATTTTAACGTCTTGTACAATCTCTCCTGTCCTCCATATGTTCCAAATTTTTAGGAAAGGCAAATGAAATAATGTAAAATAATGGTCATGCATCATCAGCCTTTTATTACCCTTAATTATTGTTAATGGAGCAGCATTATCTTAGAATACGGTTGAACTGTGGGCTTTACGTTTTATAAAAAGTGGTTTCTCACAGGAAAGGGAGCTGCTGTATGTTCCAATATTCCTCTGGGTCCTAAGTTCATCATGAAGTTCTTCATCCTCTGCACTATAATCCTCCACCCCTTGGGCCACTTTTTGTCCCCTTTGACTAGATCTTTATTCATCACCTGCACAGTCCCTTTGGCCTCAGGACGTCCATAATGACCATTTTGGGAGACCCATATGTAAGTCTAGTGACAAGGCTTTGTGCTTGTGGTCAGTTGAAGGAGTGCTCAGCTGGAGAATGTTCTTGGGGCTGGACCTCCATCTCAGCCTTGCATTATTGAATGGAGAGAGCTGGAGATGCAGAAGGAAAGCAGCTGGAGCCTGACTGCTGGGAAGGCCAGACTGAGGCACCCCCCCCAATTATGATTTATAATAATTATATGCCACCGGGTCTCGCACCTGCCTCCTGACACTGGCTTATCTTAGTTGCCTGTCCAGGCCTCTCTCACTGTTCTTCCGCCTTTACCGTGGGTGACCTAGAGCTTCTGGATATTCTAGCTCTGCTCCAACTGGGAATTATTTATTACCGTATTTTTCACCCTATAGGACGCACTTTTCCCCCTCCAAAAATGAAGGGGAAATGTGTGTGCGTCCTATGGGGTGAATGCAAGCTTTCACTGAAGCCTGGAGAGCGAGAGGGGTCGATGCACACCGACCCCTCTTGCTCTCCAGGCTTCGCGCACCTCTCCACAAGCAGCGGGAACCCGGCGCTGGGCTCCCACGGCTTGCAGAGAGCTGCCTGTTTGGGGGCTGGGGTCGGGGGAAGCTCGGGCTTCCCCCGACCCAGCCCCGCGCCTGGGGGGGGGAAATAATTCCCCCCCTTTATTTCCCCCCCAAAAAACTAGGTGCGCCTTATGGGACGGTACGTCCTATAGGGCGAAAAATATGGTATTCTAGCTCTGCTCCAACTGGGAATTATTTATTACATTTGTATACCTCTCTTACCTGAAGATCACAAGATAAAAATATGTGTGACACTGAAAAAGGTGAGTATTAAAGGTGAATAATACCCATTGTCCCCTTCATGGATCACTGCCTTGCCATGGCAAAGGGGCTTGAATAATTCAGAGAAGCTATGAACTATGCCGAGCAGGGCACCCAAGATGGACAGGTCATGGTGGAGAGTTTTGACCAAACGTGATCCACCTGGAGCAGGAACTGGCAAGCCACTCCAGTATCCCTGCCAAGAAAACTCCATGGACAAAGACAACAGGTATATAAAAGTTATGACGCTGGAAGATGAGCCCCTCAGGTCGGAAGGCGTCCAACATGCTACTGAGGAAGAGCGGAGGGCAAGTACAAGTAGATTCAGAGCTGATGAAGTGGCTGGGCCAAAGCCAAAAGGACACTCAGTTGCGGATATGCCTGAAAGTGAAAGCAAAGTCCGAGGCCAAAGAAATTGCTACAATTTCTGCTACGGAGGTTAAAGAGGTTCAAGAGACAATACCATCATTGCACAAACAACTGGAAGACCATAAATTGACCCTGTCTATGATTGAATTGAAGGAAAAACAAGTGAATCTACGGGTCAGATCGGTACCTGAAGTGGAAAAGGACAATCTAGCTGAATTTCTCATGCAGGAATTTTCGGACTTTTGGGATCCAGAATTGGTAAAAGACAGTTTTAAAATAGTAAATGCTTTTAGACTTGGGAAAAGAGGAGAGAAGAAGGTGAGAGACTGTTTGATCACTTTTCGAACAAAAGAAGAGAGGGATAAGATTTTGGGTTTGCATTTCCAGAAGACACTGGAAATCCAACAGACAAGAGTTGAAATATTTAAAGACATTCCGAAATACCTTCTGGATCTCAGATCAAACTATAAAGACTTGGTTACCCTGCTGAGAAGTAACAGTATTAACTTTAGGTGGGAATTCCCTCAAGGCCTATCTTTTAGCTACAAAGGAAAGAAGAGGAAAATAAGATCGGAAGACGACAAAGACAAATTTTGGAGAGACCACGGAGAAGACCTATAAAAAGGACTATCTCCGGAACCAAAAGACCGCTCGAAAAAAGGGATACCACCGATAGAAGAGGAACAGGCACTAGGTGCAGTAGGAGGAGTATTAAAATAATAACATCATGGCTCTGCAACTACTAACTTGGAACTGTCACGGTCTAAATTCCCCCCAGAAAAGGAAATCAGTATTTCAGATATTAAAAAAGGAACAATTAGACTTAATTTGTTTACAAGAAACACATATAACAAGATTACACAGGAAATTGTTGATAAATAAAAGACTTGGTCAAGAGTTTATTTCATCGGATAAAGTTAAAAAAAGAGGGGTTGTGATTTATGCAAAGGACAGACTATCACCGAAATTCGTATTTAAAGATGACCAAGGAAGATTTGTGGCAATTGAAATTCAAACACAAGGAGAAAAATTTTTGATAGTAGGAATCTATGCACCAAATGACGGGAAATCTGAATTCTTTAAGAAGTTGCATGAGATCCTGATGGACCACATGGATTATAACATGATTTTGATGGGAGATATGAATGGAGTGGTATCCACATATATGGACAAGGCACAAAGACAGGTAGTCACCAAGGATGGTAGACTACTGAAAACCTTTTTTGACATGACAGACAACTTGGACTTAGTTGACATTTGGAGACTAAGAAATCCCATGGCTAAAGAGGGAACCTTCTTCTCTGAAGCCAAAATGACATGGACAAGAATTGACCAAATTTGGATTACTAGAGGAATGGCACCAAAGACAAGAAAGGTGGAAATCTGCCCAAAAACTTGCTCCGACCATAATGCTGTTAAGATGGAAATGAGACTAACACCAACTGGCTCCTTCAGATGGAAGATGAATGACACTTTATTTAGAGATGATGAACTACTTAAGAAGGCCCAAAAAACTTTGAGAGATTACTTTGAGATAAATCTTAGTACTAACGTGGAGAAAAGAGTAATCTGGGACGCTAGTAAAGCGGTTATGAGAGGGTTCTTAATACAACAGAATGCAATAAAGAAAAGAACTCAAAATGAGAAGAAGGATAAGATAATGGATAAAATAAAGGAATGTGAAAAAAGACTGAGAGTAAATCCCAAATCTCAAGAGATTTTGCGAGAGTTAAAGTTATATCAAGTACAATATATGAAAATGATGAATCAGGAAATAGAATGGAAAATTAAACAAATGAGACAAAAGACCTTTGAGTCGGCCAATAAATGTGGCAAACTGTTGGCATGGCAAATGAAAAAGAGACAAAAATTAAATACAATTACGAACTTAGAAGTGGAAGGAAGAAACATACAGAACCCTGCAGAGATCAGAAGTTGTTTCCAGAGGTACTTTAAACGATTATATACTCAAGGGCCACTGAAAGAAACAGACTTAGACCAATTTTTGAAAACAAATGGATTACAAAAATATCTCAAGAAAATAAACTAATTTTGAATCATAGAATAACTGAACAGGAAATAGAAGGTGCCATTCAAAATATGCAACTGGGTAAATCTCCAGGACCAGACGGCTTGACCTCTAGATACTACAGATCTTTAAAAGAATGGTTAATTCAACCTTTGAAAGAGGTCTGCAACGAAATAATGGAGGGGAAAAGAGCACCAGAGTCGTGGAAAGAAGCATATATTACACTTGTACCAAAAACAGAGACTGAAAAGACACAGCTTAAGAACTACCGCCCTATATCGTTATTGAATGTGGATTACAAAATTTTTGCAGATATTCTGGCTAAGAGATTTAAGAAAGTGCTGATGGAAGAGATTCATAAAGACCAAGCGGGCTTTCTCCCAGGAAGACATTTGTCTGACAATTTGAGGAATATAATTGATATTTTGGAAAAATTAGAAGTGAATATAAACACTAAAGCAGTTTTGATATTTGTAGATGCGGAGAAAGCCTTTGACAATATTTCTTGGAATTTTATGAAGAAGAATCTCCAGGGTATGGGGGTAGGCCAAGGTTTTGAGAATGGTATAGGTGCAATTTATTCAGAACAAAAAGCTAAATTAATTGTAAATAATGTTGTGACGGAAGAACTAAAAATTGAAAAAGGGACACGACAAGGTTGCCCTATTTCCCCACTTCTTTTTATTTCGGTCCTGGAGGTTTTGCTGAATATGATTAGAAGGGACCAGTCGGTTAAAGGTATACAGGTCGGAACTAAACAGTACAAATTGAGAGCATTTGCAGATGACTTAGTATTGACGTTACAGGAGCCAGAATCTAGTACTAAAAGAGTTTTAGAACTGATTCAGGAATTTGGTCAAGTGGCAGGATTTAAATTGAACAAGTTAAAAACCAAGGTTTTAGAGAAAAACTTAACATCGTTTGAAAGAGAGAGGTTTCAGAATGAGACAGGTTTAACAGTGGTTAAGAAAGTTAAATACCTTGGGATCAACATGACAGCAAAAAATGGGAATTTATTTAAAGATAATTATGAAAAATGTTGGTTGGAAGTGAAAAAAGACTTAGAAATTTGGTCAAATTTGAAGCTTTCACTGCTAGGCCGTATTGCTGCGATAAAAATGAATGTATTGCCTAGAATGTTGTTTTTGTTTCAAACTTTGCAGATTGTGGACAAAATGGATTGTTTCAAGAGGTGGCAGAAAGATATTTC